GAGCTCCAAGCATCTCTAAACTCCTGCAGTACTTCTGCCCCAGGTTCTCACCGTGTGATGTATGAAATGTTAAAAAACCTACCAAACGAAACCCGAAAAACCTTACTTTGTTTGTACAATGCTATTTGGTCTTCTGGCACTATTCCTACCTCCTGGAAAGAGGCTATTGTTATTCCCATTTTGAAAGAGGGCAAGGACCCTTCTTTACCCTCGAGTTATAGGCCTATAGCACTTACAAGCTGCTTGTGCAAAGTCTTCGAAAAAATGATAAACGGCCGACTTGTACATTTTCTTGAAACAAATAATTTGCTCGACCCATTTCAGTGCGGGTTTCGAGAAAGTAGATCCACCACAGACCACCTTGTTCGTATCGAGGCACAGATCAGAGACGCGTTCGTCCATAAACAATATTTTCTCTCTGTGTTCCTCGATATCGCAAAGGGCTTATTATACAACATGGCGTTTCGGAATTCTAAGAGACCTGTCCCACCTTGGTGTGTGCGGAAGAATGTTTCATATAATCGAAAGTTACCTGTCAAACCGGACATTCCGTGTCCGTCCGGGCAGTGTGCTCTTTCAAACATTTGTCCAGGAAACAGGCGTGCCACAGGGTGGTGTGCTTAGTTGCACACTTTTTATTATTAAAATGAATTCTTTGCAGTTGTCCATTCCCCGCAATATGTTATTTGTACATATGTCGACGACGTTCAGCTTGACTTCAAATCATGCAACTTGGCAATGTGTGAGCGGCAGGTTCAGCTGGGCTTAAATAAGGTCTCCAAATGGGCAGATGAAAACGGATTTCGACTTAACCCACAAAAAAGCACGTGTGTCTTGTTCTCTCGAAAGAGAGGCATGCACTCTGAACCTGACATTCGACTGAACGGGCAACGTCTGTCCGTCAAAGCCGAACATAAATTCTTAGGCTTAATCTTGGACGACAAGCTGACCTTCGTTCCGCACATCAAGAATTTAAAAATAAAATGTTTAAAAGCCATGAATGTTATAAAAGTGTTGTCACGTACTTCGTGGGGTAGTGACAGGAAATGCCTCATGAACCTGTATAGAAGCCTTATTCGCACCCGCTTAGATTATGGGGCCATTGTTTATCAGTCTGCGACGCAAAGTGCTTTGAAGATGCTGGATCCCGTGCACCATTCGGGCATCCGCAATTCTACGGGTGCTTTTTGCACCAGCCCCGTAGAAAGCCTTTACGTTGAGTCAAATGAGTGGTCACTTTATCTGCAAAGAACCTACATGTCCTTTGTATATTTCCTTAAGGTGAAAGCAGACAAGAGGCACCCCTCATACTCTACTATTAATGACTTGTCAAGCTCCATTCTTTTTCAAAACAGGCCTTCAATGAGGCAGCCCTTCTCAGTTCGCCTGAAGGGTCTAGCTGAGGACACTGGAGTGTCACTCGAACACAGCCTAATGGCTCCTGTAGCATACCCACCACCGTGGCAGTGGCAGACTATAGATTGCGATGTGTCTTTCCTAGAAGTTACTAAACATGTGCCTATTGCCCATATTCGAACATACTTCTTGGAACTTCAACACAAATACACATGTCCTGAGTTTTTTACAGATGCCTCTAAGTCTAACTCCTCTGTGTCCTACGCTGCTGTTGGCCCTTCCTTTTCGGATGCTGGCCCTCTACATCCAGACACAAGTATCTTCACAGCGGAAGCTTACGCGATACTTGTGGCAGCTAAACACATAAAAGAATCACAAATACAAAAAGCAGTAATTTATACAGACTCCCTCAGTGTGGTAACGGCTCTGCACAGTCTTAAAAAACAAAAAAACCCTGTCCTCGTTTCACTTTACTCCATTTTATGCACACTCTACACACTCAACCGACATGTTGTTGTGTGCTGGGTGCCAGGGCACCGTGAGATTCCAGGCAACATGATGGCGGATAAGCTTGCTGCATCCGCCCACGTTGCACCGCCATTACACCCACATCAATCCCGGCCCTTGATCTTAAGCCGTCTCTCAAACGAAAACTCAGGGACTACTGGCAGAGCAAGTGGGATACATACACACAAAACAAACTACACGTTATTAAGCCACACCTTGGCCATTGGCCACCAGTATCAAAATCACGTCTAACAGAGGTAACACTAACAAGACTCAAGATAGGACACACATACATGACACACACACATCTTTTGTCCGGTGGTGATCCACCATTGTGTGATAAATGTGGTGAGGCATTAACAGTTCTTCACGTTTTAATTCAATGTAAACATTTGGACACTCTATGAAGACAACACTTTCCACTATCCTACCGACAACATATACCTTTACATCTTGCAATGTTCGTCGGTAGGGAACCGCTTTTTAGTCACAAACCATTATTAGCGTTTTTAAAGGAAATTCATAATTTTCATATCATATACCCGGGCATACCGTAGCACGACCTCTCTAGAGAGGTTTTTGCTGCGGTGGCTACACAGGAAAGCACTTGCCTCACGGCGCTTGGACGCAAGGGTATGAACGAGTGAGGTACTTATGCTAATGCCATACATGTACACCATCGTTTTTCATTATCACTAACTTTTGTCACCTATTCACATCACACACACCTTTCAAGGCATGGTCATGTTTTTAATACTTGTAGGTTTTTACCCACCTTATTGCGAGGAATTTTATGGCCCTTATACAGCCGCTAATCACAATCAATGTCCACATTCTTTGTCCCATGAACTGGCGCTCTTTGGCCGTCAAATGGCCCTTGCGCCAATAAACACCATATATCATCATCATCATCGAATGGACTTGCTGGGGTCATTCCCCACGTCCTCGTCTGGAAACCAGTGGATTGTCGTCGCTACTGACTACTTAGCACGCTATTGTGAAACCAAGGCACTTCCAAAAGCCACCGCAGCAGATGTCGCCCAATTGTTTGTTAACAGCATCGTGTTACGTCACGGTGCTCCAGCTGTTGTCATAACTGATCGTGGAACAGCTTTCACCGCAGAGATGCTGCAGGAAGTCTTGAGAATAAGTGGCACGGAACACCGTAAAACAACGGCTTGCCACCTGCAAGCAAATGGGCTGACTGAACGACTCAATAAGACAATTGCAGACATGCTGTCAATGTATGTGGACATCAATCACAAGAACTGGGACACCATACTTCCCTACGTAACTTTTGCGTATAACACTGCTGGTCAAGAAAGTACCAGTCTCACACATTTTTGCTTAGTCCATGGTCGCGAGGTCACGACGATGCTCGACGCCATGCTCCTGCCTGACAACTTAGAAATATACCACACGGATGCACTTAATTTGCGCAGTGCGCAGAAGAGGCCCATAAACTGGCTCGACACTGTATTCACATCAACGAACCGCTGACGCGCGCCGCTACAATCTTCGTCACCATGAATTTATTTCCAAGCCTGGTGATGAAGTTTGGGTGTAGACCCCTATCCGACAGCGTGGCCGTTCAGAAAAGCTTCTTCGCCGCTACGTTGGCCCTTACGAGGTTGTACTACGTCTCAGCGACGTCTCTTGGGAGGTTCTCCCAGAAGCCACTTCGAGACGTTCCCGTTTCACCCCGCAAACTGAAGTCATTCACAATTTATGGTTCAAACCATACTTTTAGCGCTGTGAGTCACCAGCGAGTGACTGACTTTATTGATAACTTCGGGTCTTTCTTTTTCTTTCGTCTTTTCCTTACATTCTTTCTTATTTTTCCTATTTATCATTTAGCTCTTGACTCCACAACTACGTTATTCCGCCTTACGCCAATCATTTTGCTTGCATGGTAATTTTCGTCTCATTTTCTTTTTTTGCCTCCATGTACAGCATCGAGACGATGCTTCTAGGAGAGGGGGTATGGCCACTATTGATGAACGGGCCACAGTGGCTCATACTCGTTTTGGGCTGCGAAGAAGAAGAGAACATTTTTGTTGCTCTGGATCAGGTGATTGGCTTCATTTTCAGTTTAGTTTCATTTAAGTATCCTGCCGCCCGGTTCTTGGCCCATCATTTTGTGGGTAAGCGCCATCCATCAGAGGTCATCAGCATCAGCATCAGCATCAGGTGAACTCCTGGCTGCAGGTCTTGTTTTGCTCGTGACAATATTTTGTGTACTGCTTATGGCACCCTCTTTCCCACTAGTGTGTATTTCCGTGCGTGTGCAGCAAAGTGAACACCCACTGCTGCTACAAGATTGCAGTGCAGCAAGCGTGCGCGGCATTATATATGAGCGCACAGCTGTGGTGGAGAGATAAACGAGAAAGAGAAAGGAAGCGGAGGCAGCGCTGTGCCACCAACTCCACCTTCTCCCCACCTGCTCACGCTCAGAAGAGGTAGAGCGAGAGTTGGCGCATGCGTAGTGGGGTCGTGGACTGTCGTCGAGGGGCAGATACAGCCGCGAGCAAAAACTACTTCACATCTGAACAAATATTTTCAAGAGGGCGATATCATAACAATAAGAAGTAGAGAGCATGAGATAATAAACAGCGCTATCAAGAGCAAATCATTCGACGAATTGCTTATAGACGGATAGCAAATTTTCCACCCCGACGCGGTGGTCTAGTGGCTAAGGTACTCGGCTGCTGACCCGCAGGTCGCGGGTTTGAATCTCGGCTGCGGCGGCTGCATTTCCGATGGACGCGGAAATATTGTAGGCCCGTGTGGTCAGATTTGGGTGCACGTTAAAAAACACCAGGTGGTCGAAATCTCTGGAGCCCTCCACTACGGCGTCTCTCATAATCATATGGTGGTTTTGGGACGTTAATTCCCACATATAAAATCAAATCAAACTTTGCACGAATAATCAACTCTATCAAAGCAGCATTTATTGTGTGGATACAGACAGATTGCCTCTGGCAGCAATGTGCTTATTTGCCCAATAATTGTATTCGTACTCAATAATTTTTCAATTGATTCTTCAATATTTTGCAATATGCATGTATTAACCCAGTTTTAAGATCTTCATTTACACCTGATACAGAAACACGAACCGTGTTCTTTTTTTTTCACAGAAACCAGTTGGCTGCACATGGCACTGCACAAATAAAGGTGTAGGTGGTTCAACTGTAAAGTCTGAAAGTAACTCTCGCGAATGCCTTGTAAGTACTGGGTGCCTACTAAAGGGCCACTCACCATCCGGCGATCAAAAGCGAGGGGTTCTATTTATCTTCTTTGCTACCGTTCGCACACGTGTTGCATCCTTCTAGCCCTTTAGTCCTTTAAAGCACGTGAACAATGTCAGAACTAAGCGATAGGGCTTATCAGGGTTTCGCCCTTCTCGTCTACACGCTCTTATCAGTCGTAAACACGCAAAATAAAGTGTGGTTGGTTGATTATCCACAATACTCAAGCGAGACAAGCAAGAACGAATGAGATGCTGCATGACGAAGCAGCTCAGGAGACAAATCATTAATTGATATGTGGAGTTTAACGTCTGAAAACCACCTTATGAATATGAGAGACGCCGTTGTGGAAGGCTCCGGAAAGTTCTACCACTTGGGTTTCTTTAAAGTGCACCCAAATCTGAGCACAGGGGCCTACAACACTTTTGCCTCCATCGAAATTGCAGCGGCCGCAGCTGGGATTCGATCCCGCGACCTGTGGGTCAGCAGCCGAGTACCTTAGACACTAGATTACCGCGGCGAGGCAGGAGGCAAATCACACTTGATATTTCGCGTGTGGGAGACCAGTGCTGGTTAGGTGGCGCGCCGAAAAAGAGCGCCTGGAGGAGAGTCGCGACACAACTCAGCCGCTTGCAGCCAGACTGGACGCAACGTGCCGTGTAGGGAGCCCGCGTGTGTACCACTGCTGTGCTTTAATGTGGAACGAATAGCTCGGAAAGTGATTGCGCGATTAATAGTGCCCTGCGTTTTAGTAAAACAACTTCGTCCGAAGGCTACTCTCCCATAAAAAGCACTAAAAAATGGAGAGGCCCTGCAAAGCGGTATGCGTCTATGCACATGGCACCGAAGGTACCGTGCTGTGCCGAGATAGTGACTCCCTCATCCTTATTTTGCGGTTGCGTGCTAGGTGATGTGTTAAGTTAGTGCAGGCTGACGAACTCCCGTCGATACGTCTCTATTTCGACGATAGCACGCACACAACATTTGTAGGAAAACAAACCAAACAAGAGTAAGCGGTAGCTGCGTCAATTTTATTTCTCGCATTGTATGTACGCCCTGTCCGTGGTATGTATTCATGAGACGTTAATTGAGCAAACCACCACGGCAGGATAGCACGTGTGGTGCCGCACTACTATGTTTGAAGAAGTGCGTTGGATTCCCGGCCAGGGAGGCTGCACAACGATTGGGATGAAATATAAAGAACGTCCGCGAACCAAGATATATACGTTGGCGTTAGAGAACCTCAAGAGATCACAATTAACCCTGATACTCACACTACAATGTGCCACAAACTTAGTTTTTGGCGCACAAAAGCCTAGCAAATATTGATGTATAGCAGACCTTCTTATTTTAGGCCGACACATGCAATCGTAAAAACTGAATCTGCGCGTTAGGCGGACTATACGACGAGAAAAGATTGAAGACATTCGATACTTCTCTAGCAAGGCGTTAATTCCGATGTTACTTAACCACGGCAGCCACAGAAAAAGAAAGTTACCGCATCAGCTGGCTACGTTAAGCTCACCTTCAAGTAATCGACTGCTTTTTTCGTAACTAAAACCCTGTCTTAAGCACAAAGTAAGTTAAACAGAGACACAGCAGCATGGATTATTCACCACAAAAGTATATTTTTTATAACAGTTCAGAGGCGTAGGCTTACGTGTCCCACAAAAATTTTGTGGATAAGACAGCTTTCTTTTATACGTAGCTCTTTACAAATAGTGAACACTACCTGCTATATCATTTACTTCAAGTGGTGTTATTATATATATTTTGGTAGTTGTGATTAGATGGTTGTATGCAGGAAAAACTTTGTTAGTCTAGAGGTGCACAAATCATTGCTCTGCGGGCTCGATAAAGAAATACGTACTCCATTTGGTACAATATTACGCTTGTTTTATTTCTTGCAAAACGACGTTTACTTTGACTGTTTGGCCCGGGTTTCTACTGATGGCCGTGTTCACTATCGAATAAATATAGCAGACATGCGCCCTTCGCTTTAGAAACTAGCCCGACACAACTATACAGGAAAGAGAGAGCAGAACTGACATCGCTCACCTGACCACTTGGATGCAATGCCTCCTTCATTTTTATTTATATAAGTAAGAAGGAAAAACGTACAGGCATACGCCTCCCCCCCCCCCCTGTGTACACGTATTCTTTCGCTTGAATTCTCAGCAGTACAACAAGCACTTTTGGTTTTGTTATGGCGATGCTTTCCCGCACCGCCTCCGCCAACCGCCTCTCTCGCCTGCGGGAGCGGCTGAGAAGTGCGCGTTTTGGCCGCCAAGGAGGCCGTGGAAATTCCAGCGCTGCTTCGATAAATGAACCAATCGAGAACACGTATGCTACAGAAGTCATGGGAACTACTGTCTGCTTCACAAACGTGTTGAAGGAGGACAAGAAAGATTAGTGGAGAATATTGCGCTTGTATTTGTATTTTGATAGCCTGGTGAGTGGCTGTTTTAGTAATAGGAAACCTAGTAAACGAGCATATATGTACTGTTTTAACCAGTCGCATAGTGCTAATATCATATTCGCAGAAGAGAAAATAAATGTCGTTATTATGAAATTTTCATATTGCTAGATTCGTAAAAATGAATCAATTTACAAAAAACGCATTTTTGCATCCATTTAGCTTTGAATTATGTGAGAAATCTGTCCCAATATTGCGAAATGTGAATTTTTTTGTTTTGTCACAGGGGTACTAAGCAAATTAAATTGACAGTATTCCCTCTGCCCACTTCGCTAAACCGTCGATGATGATAGTGATTAAAGTTGCATATAGAGCTCGCCGGCACGGGAAAAATTTCATAACTGTAATTCAAGAAGTTGACGTGCGGCATGTGCCCTTTTACATGGGACCTTTATTGATTTTCTGCTTGTTTGACCACCTTAGATGTGTGTAGGCTGCAGCGACTCCACCAGGTTGTTTTTTTCTTTTATACGAAGTGGGAACGAATCCCTCGTGCGAGGTTTATTCATGCACTCGGCTAGGCAGTTCTGGTACCTATAGTACGTCATGGAAGTCAGCCACAAGTGTCTGAAGTCTTCATGAGCGATTTCAAGTTCATTATATTCAGTTTTTTGTTATTTTTTTTAAATTTTGGCGCAGAACAGCTGCCACAACTTGAATGCATAAAGAGGAGGAAGTAGATATCGCTTCTGACTATTGCTGTAGTGGTGCCAGCTTGTACAGTATGCGCTGTGCATTGGAAATGGATAAATGAACGACGAGCCTATTATTGGTCATCGTTGATGACTTCAGTACCTCTAAAAAGACGCGGAGCGTTCGCATCTACAGCTACCTCGCGTGAACTTTGCCTGCTGGTATTTCATCACCGCTGACTCCTTCAGCCGAAGCCACGACTTAGGTCAAGCTTCCGGAACTTCGGCGTCACTATCTCCGATGACTGCCAACAAAGTTGACGCATAACTGAACCAGTAGGAGCGCGTCAGTGCTACTTACTGATAGGATTGCACGGTCACGCACCGTAACGTTCGTTGAGATGCAAAATAGCTCAGCGTGGAGCTGTGTCCGGTCTTCGTCATGATCACCCTTACTGCGCATGTGCGTCCGCTTCCCCTTCTCTCCTCTCTAACGCCCCCCTTCTCTAGCTTCGCACTGCGGACGCAGGCAGCATCTGCTACCAAGTTTCTTGATTGAAAAACTGACTGTTCGCGCTGCGCAAGCGCTTACTGGCTATCCCGTATACACGGTGTCACATGTACTTTAGCCAAAGTTTAAAAATGTGCCGGAACATGTAATTACGACGTTACCAAAATCATGTTGCTCACTTTTGCCTGGAGTTAGTCAGACTGTTTTCTGTGTTCTGAAATATTGTTTATTGGATCTGTTTAATTACCTAAATTTTCAAGAAACGCTCATAGATAAAAAAAATTTCTGTGAGAAAGTTGTAGATCGGTTCGTAAAATACCGAAATAGATCATTTTCAGCTTTATATTTGTGAGGAGTTACTCTTTTTCTGCTAATTGCATATTCCCGCGAAATACAAGTACCACGTGACGAACCCGCTCGTGCGTCAGTGCACACAATGATTCTAGGGCTCCCTAACCTTCCGCGTACAAACGAAACGTTTACCTAGCACCGGTTTATGACAGCGATGAGCAGTCACAGCGGTTATCGTTCTTGTGGCCGATAGCAAAACGTGGTCAACGTAAAGCTACCACGAATGTTGCGACCCTGCCGATATAGCACAACGGTGCAAACGCTGTGGTCGTTTGAACACCAATCTTTAGGGAGCACTAGAATCATTGTGCGCACTGCTGCACGAGCGGGTTCGTCAGCATTGAGTGATGATCGGTCACTAATGTGACCGATCATCGTCAGATAGTGAGTAATAATAGGTCACTAATGTGAACTTGCGGCCATGTATGTTCGGTCGGAATTTCTGAATGGCGAAAACGACTGCTAAGCACTCTAGCTCGGTGACGGTGAAGTTCTCTGCTCTCCTCAGTGTCCGACTGGGGTATGCTACGACGTTATGAAGGCTGTTGCAGAGTTAGACCAGCACAAAACCAACACCTAGCCCACTAGCATCAGTATGCAGTTCAGTCAAAGCATCAGGATTAAAATGCTTTTGATTGGTCCTGAAGTCAATAAATACTTTTTCTGTTGAAATGCAGCCTCACATTTATCATTCCACAAGTACGGTGTGTTTTTATGAAAAAAGGACGCCAGTGCGAAGGCAAGTTGTGCGAAGTTCTTAATAATTCGGGGGAAATATGAGCACAAAGCCAGAAAACTTCGCAGGTCCTTCACTGTTCGTGGTTTTTCAAAGTTGCGAAGCACTGCGGTCTACTGTGGGTCTGGTCGTACGTCTTCTTTATCCAGAAGAAAGCCTATTACAATACTTGACGTTCTCCAATTCAGCATTTTTTGAGTTTACAACAAGGACAGCTTCGGTGGTGATGCTCTTGAAAAGTCTTTCCGTAGATAATCACGTCATGTATAT